TATCTATCTATCTATCTATCTATCTATCTATCTATCTATCTATCTATTTATCTATAACTAATCTAAAAAAAAGAATTTTTGTGTCCTGATGTCTCTCTTTTCTTTTGCATTATTTATTTTATCTTATTTTTAATATAATTTTTTATTTATTACAATTTATTCACTTTGTATCCGAGCTCTAGCCCCACCCTTGTTCCCTCCCAATCCCACCCTCCCTCCCTCCCTCATCTCCTCTCATGCCTCTTCCCCAGTCCACTGATAGTGGAGGACCTCCTCCCCTTCCATCTGACCCTGGTCTATTAGGTCTCATCAGGACTGTCTTCCATAGTCTTCCTCTGTAGCCTGGTATGGCTGCTCCCTGCTCGGGGGGGGGGGGTGATCAAAGAGCCAGCTACTGCGTTCATGTCAGAGACAGCCCTCTTCCCCTTATTAAGGAGCCCATTTGGAGACTGAGCTGCCATGGGCTACATCTGTGCAGGGGTTCTAGGTTATTTCCATGCATGGTCCTTGGTTGGAGTATCAGTCTCAGAAAAGATCCCTGTGCCCAGATTTTTTGGTTCTGTTGCTCTCCTGGAGCTCCAGACCCTTCCAGGTCTTTCTATCTCCCCCTTCTTTCATAAGATTCCCTGAAGGTTGCCCAAAGTTTGGCTATGAGTCTCAGCATCTGCTTCGATACCCTGCTGGGTAGAGTCTTTCAGAGGCCCTCTGTGGTAGCTCCTGTCCTGTTCCTTGTTTTCTCCTTCTCTGATGTCCCTTTTGTCAGTCCTCTTTGGTCATTTTCTACTGTTTTCACACTTCACTCTTCCTACAGTTGTATCTCAGCCTCAGTGTTCTCTTTATGGAATAATTTCTGTCCAAGCCTACTCCTGGCATTTAAAAAGATGGAAATCTGAAGTACATTCAGTACCACAGACTAATCATCTGCTTCCAGAGATTGCAACTTGTGATAGCATGCAATAAAAGATGGAGACTCCTGGGTATGGCTAAAGAGATATTCCATTTCCTTAGGGAGAAACTCTGTCACCACAGTAATAGTAACATTCAGAAATGTTTCCATTTATTTAATAAGTTATACTCTCATTTTTCAACTTAAAACATTTTTCAAGTTTTAAAACCCTAGTTTTCATTTGCTTGTTAATAGAAATACTAGAAATAAGATGTCTCATAACAACCATGTGGTTGGTTACTATGGTTACGCACAGTTGCATTGACCATGCAGATATAGTCATGGGTTTATTTCTTTTATGAGGAAAGGGCTGTGTTGTCATACTGCTAAGCAAAAGACAGATGTACTATGAGTTCTGGTGAAATTATCATTACAGAAAACGTTCCAGGATTATAGCTGCCTTCTGTTTCATAGGGTGTCTATTCTAATAATAGGTGGTGTCTAAAGGGTGCTCACTGAATATTAGGCTGTTTGAGTTTGGTAACTCAATTAATACATAACAACAGTCACAAGAGTATATGATTTCTGTTCAGTAGAAAGTGGCAAAATTGAAATACAAAGAGGGTCTTAGGAAATCTCCTATGACCACACTTAGTAAGTGGGATAGGTAGGTTTAGACCTATGAAGACTTAACCTAGAATATATTCTGTATATTTGGAGTGCTCAAAAGAAATAAGGATTCATAGTTCTTGGGGCATCCATAGAGATTTCTTCAGGGAAGACTGTCTTGATGGAGAGACACTTCTGCCAACTCTGAACCAAGTCAATAGGTAAAATTTTATATTAAAAACTCTCTTCCTTTTGTCTTCTGACACAGGGACTTTGTCATCTTAGAAAACTAAGAATACTGGACATAGCTGGAAATGTTATTCAGACGTTTCCAGAAGGCGTAAGTACAGTCAATTTTTATTGTAATTAAAAATCATTTTATTTATACTGTTGGGAATAGAAAATATAAGCAGCCCATAAGAGCTGTAGTAGTTTGAACCTTGATTTGTAAAATGTCTCAAAGATTTGCTCTGTTCTACAATTTCAAAACCCATTCTTCCATATCCTTTTGCTTGTATTCTGTGCCTGCTGAACTTGTTTGAGCTAAATGAACTCTGATTGTTGCCATAAATATTTAATCTATCAGTTATGATTAAATTTTTTTGTTATTACACATTGCTTTTGGTCACCTGTCACCTTCTTGAAAGACCACTTTCTTGGGCCTAAGATTTTATCCCATATAGTTAATCCAGAGGGGATTAACAGTTGTTAACAGTTAATTTCACAGTTGTTTTTAAGCCATCACCTATGAAAATACACTTTCTTTTCCATTTGGAACTGAATTTTGACTTTGTTTATTTCAAATAACAGAGACAGTTCATTTTTGGCAGCTTCTAACTTCGGGAAAAGAAATAGCTGTTTTTAATAGTGCATTTTTATGTCTAAGCGAACATGCTGGAACATTACAAGCCCATTAGTCCAGGAAGTATTCAGTAAATACCCGTGGATCCCTTATTTTTATTCTTTTTGTTTTGTTCTTTTCAAGATAGAGTTTCTCTGTGTAGCCTTGGCTGTCCTAGACTCACTTTGTAGACCAGGCTGGCCTCAAACTCACAGAAATCCCCCTGCTACTGCCTCCCCTAGTGCTGGGATTACAGGCATGTGCTACCATGCCTGGCCATAATTTTTACTCTTGTTGATTTATTCAAAGTGTAATTTTCAGACATTTTAATCTATGAAAAGAATTTTAGACTGAAAGTTCAAAACCTGATTTCGGGAAACACATGCAATATTATGCTTGTGGTAAAATGTGTATTATACAAGTCTTGTGTTTTAAGAGGACATTCTTGACACTGAGTACTTGATGGTCCATCACCACCCCCTTCCTCTAGAACTCATTAATTCCCAATTAGACAAATTTCCAATTCTCTTGTTAGAATTCATCACAGCATTTTAAAATAAGGTCTTTCTCTTTCTTTTGGAAACTACCATGTCCTGTTTCTATATGTTTGATTATTTTGTGCACTCCGCCAATGTAGAATTAGCCGACCTTTGTCCCTTTATGACTGTCTTATTATTTTTAGCACAATTTTATTCAAGTTCTTCCCTGCCATACAGAGCTGGGTTTTCCTTCCTTGTTCTAGGCTGCGTCATAGTCACACAATCCACATGCAAGGGTACCTTTCGCTTATCCATTGCGCTGTGGAGGGACACGGGATGTTTCTGTCTTTTGCTTACTGTGAGCAACGCTGCTCCCAACTTGGTTGTACAAGGTTTTTGTTCACTAAGTTTTAGTTTTCACTTTCAAATTCTTTAGATACGTATTCAGAAGCAGAGCTCCTGAATTATACAGCCCCTTCCTCTATTATTTTCTTCTCTTTACAACTTTCATCTCATCTTCATATCTTTCTTATCTTAACATGACAAAAGCATCTTAAGGGTTTGTCTTGGCTTACAGTTGAGGATATAGTTCTTTGTGGTGGGAAGTTATGCCACCAGGATGGGGAAGCAGCTGTTCGCAAGTTTCCATAGCTGAAGGGTAGTGCTCAGCTCTTTCTTCATGTACTGTGGGACCTAGCCCATGGAATGCTGTTGCCCACTTTCAGAGTGGGTCTTCCCACCTCTAGTAACTAAGTGCAAATTAACCCTCACAAAGTTGTCCCCAGACTCACCAGTGTAAGCGATCCCACACAGGCATGCCCCAGAGTTTGCCTTGGAGGTGATTCTAGAGCCCGTCGACTCTTAACCACCACAGCTCACTTTTAAATTTTTAAGGATTTACTATCCGGTTAAAAATTTACAGTTTCAAATCATAGGAAAGAATAGATGCTTTCAGTGAACACTTGGAAAAGATTCCATGATTCTGTTTTCATTCTGTGGGTTTGATTTAACTCCGTGCACAGTGTGCTATAGACCCAACATCCAGAACATTTTTCTAGTGTCACCTCCAACACGGTACCACTGTGGCACAGACCATGGAAAGGAGTGATCCCCTTTTGCCTCTGCATTGATGTTAGAATGCTAACTTTACCATCAAACATATCTTTTATTTTCAACTTAATATTATTTACGAAACGAATAAACCTAGGTAATGTTTCTCAGCTGCGCTCAGCATCCGCCGTGGCATTGCCATGAATTCTCAATTTTCTGTAAAGACTGGCTGCATGTAAAATTTTTTGTTTAAACACCCTTGTTTTCAATATTTTTTTTGCACGCCTTTGATACGATCTGTGCCAGATTCACTTTCAGAATAGTCTGTAAACCCTATGAAATAAGATCAGATCCAAACTCATCTGAGCTTTGTTCCCAATTTTTTAAGTTTTTTGCTTCAGAATTTTGAAAATGACTTTCTGACCTAAAACTGATGGACTTTTGCAATTTATTGCTGTAAAATCAGTTTTCACATTTGAAAGATGAGGCAATCTGATGGCACAAATGGCAAATGCTGAGATAACTCACTGACTCTGTAGTATAGTTCTAAGTGTTACAGAGTTCAGCTTCAAAGTAAGGGACATTAACGACATAATGTTATAATATTGTATTATAATAATATAATATATATTACTATGTGTAATATATAATATAATATAACGATATGATATTATAATACAACGATATGATATTATAATACAATAATATAATGAACATTAACAATAATAATCACCACGTAGTATTAAGTGAAAGACATTGACTTAGGTTGGAATCATATATACATTAACTTAAATTTCTAAGTTATTTACTAAACTATAATTTCAGAGAAGTTGTTTGAGTTGTTCCTTAAAACCACCAACCTCATGAGCATATTAGTTTGGTAAATGATTATTAAACTTCCTAAAGAGAGTGTCAAAACAGTGAAAATTACTTTCACAATGAATTATATCTGAAACGTTTGGTAATACCAAAGTAGTGATTGGTAAAGCAATTATGGTGATCAGTCACTATTTATAGGTGATAACAGGAAGTGTTAACTTTCTGAAGGGTATCTTTTAAAACCTGTTTTTACTATAAAATGGTGAAGATATGAAAAATACAAGAGTGAAGTGAAAGACATGTGTATCTGTTAGTTTGAAGCACACTCTGAACTCCAACGCTGTAATTACATTCTGTAGAATAAGTTTAAATAGTTTATTTTACTGTCATTCTTTTGAGACAGGGTTTCTTTGTGTAACAGCTCTGGCTGTACTGAAATTTGCTTTGGGGACCAGGCTGGTCTTGAACTCACAGAGATCCACCTGTCTCTGCGTCCAAAGTGCTGGGATTAAAGGCATGTGCCACCATGGCTGGCTACTATCATTCTTTTAAAGAAGATCTTTATTTCAGCTTTTTGCTGTTTCATGGTCTAATATTTTAAATATGCATTGATGTTTGGCCGGCTTCACATGTTTGTCTGTGTGAAGGTGTCAGATCTTGGAGTTACAGACAGTTGTGAGCTGCCATGTGGGTGGTGGAAATTAATCCTGGTCCTCTGGAAGATCATTTACTACTCACAACAGCTGAGCTTTTTCTCCATCTCCATGGTCTAAAGTTTGGTGTGTAACTTAGTGGATAGTTTTTACTGAGGTAGCTTTTACACATTTGAAGCTGATTTTATTTTACATTTGTCTGTTTTATGTATATGAGTGTTTTTACTGCACGTCTCTCTGTGGGCTCTATGTCTGGTGCTTGCAGAGGCCAGAAGAGGGCGTTGGATCCCTTGGAACTGGAGTTAGGAGCATCTGTGAGCAGCCTTGTGGGTGCTTGGAATTGATTCTGCGTCCTCTGCCAGAACAACTGCTTTGAACTGCTGAGCCATATTTCCAGTCCCTCACAACCCCAAGATGTTTTAAATCATGAGTTAGTATACAAATGTATGTTAACTGGAAACCTGACTGGGAGCAGGCACCACCACAGCTAACTGGTCATAGAAATAATTTGGGACTGAGGATGTAGTCCAGTTGGTAGAGCACTTATTTAGCATGCATGAAGTCCTGGTTTGATTCCACCACAGGTGGTGGCACCTGCCTGTCATGCTAGTGGAGCTAGGACAATCAACCTTTATCTATCTATCTATCTATCTATCTATCTATCTATCTATCTATCTAT